CTAATAAATTGTTTGTGAAAGCCGATAAGCTATTGTTATTGGATACTTTCTGCATGCATCTCAGCAAACAAATTGTAACAGTTTTTCCCATTTTCTCCGTTTCTTAGGCATATTTAACATAAATGTTGTTTGTTTATTATTACAAATTTCGGTGTTTAGGTGTTTAAAATATGTAAAAATTTTAAAATTTTCTTTTATATGCTTATTTATTACTGGCGTGAAGTGAAGTTAGCCCACAATACATCTACAGTCTACATTTTTGTCTTTGCTCAAAGGTGGACTACCTTCACGCTTGGTTCGCGCTCCTGCTAAGTTAATTGATAATTTAATGCCACTGAAAGGATACCAAAATGATTAGGGAAACTAAAGAAAGATTGAAATGCAAGCATAAGTCGAACAGGAAATCCTATAGAAATGTTGAGAAATTAAAAAAAAAAAATTTTTACTACTGTTTACCATATAGTGCATGTATATTATTGGCGAAAAGTGGGTATACAAAATTTTAATGAGTTCCTCCATGCACAGATATTTTACATATCTTCAAGGACGCTAAAACGCATTAGCAACACTGATTAGCAACATTGTTGCAACAATTTGTATTTAGTATCTTGTGTATATCTAGAGAGGGCAGATTTTTGGCGAACTTGGCCTTGATACACCGTGGAAGTGGTAATGAAATAAGGCTTTCCGGGTAGGTGTCAGTATTTTTCACGATGAATCAAAAATCTATACCCGGGTAATGTCTCTTAAAAATTATTATAACACCATTTGGACATTGCGTCCTTTCAGTATTTGTACAGTAATTTTGTATGAGATTTACTAACAATAACTTGGCTTTTTAAGTTTTGTGTTCATGATTAGAGGCTTAGTTTGTTTTATATGTGTACGTTTGCTAATATTATTTAATTTTAGTACTTATTTTAAATGTTTGTTGTTTATTTCGCAATAAATCGTAATTTAAGAAACACATTTTTAGCAAAGACACATACCTTAAAACAATGGGTTATATTGGTGGGCTATCTTCCCTTCACCTATTTATTTAATTATTTTTTCCAGTTACCTGGTCTGTAAAAGGCTTTGTCCTTCTTCATTAAGCGAAGTGAAATTTCAATCGTTTTATTTTCCTTCTTTTATTCTGTACCAAATTCAACTTACCGCTTTTGCCCTTCACCTAACCAACCGATCGAAATTTTCGCGCTCTGTAATCGCGTGTTCACGTGTTCCTTTTTTTCTCGTGGTTTGCATGGGAAGTGTACGACTTTATTACATATGCCGATTTTATACACTTAGCTGTCGAAAAATTATAATCGCCTATGGATCGAAGTTTATGAACCACAGAAAGTTAAGGGTATGAAAAATTGCAAACTGCACATTAAGTCATTTAAACAACTTACGCATTTGTTGACTTGCAAATTACGGTCGCAACTGCAACTTTGGAAAAAGTGTAGAGAAAGGTGTAATGAGAGTCTCCCTTTCCCAAATTCGGCAAATTGATAGTGGGAGAGAGAGTGCCTGTGCATCAATACTATCAAATTATGACAAACACAATACCAAGACCAAGGACATAAAATCACATAAGATAATGTTACCCTAATATGAAAATTCATTTCCATACGCAGCGTGTGCGACAAACGAATTTTTGCCCGAGGAAAAATATAAACTTACTGCAATTCCAGCACTGCACTTCACAGTTGGCTTATAATGAATGATTCTCGAATATGTAGAAAAAGTTGTGTGAAGAAATTATTTTACAAAATACTAATTAATAAAGTGCCTTGAGACACTTAATTGAAAGCCAGTAATATTTACTTTTTCTTTATTTCCGTAAGCGTTAAAGACAAACTCCATCAAACATGTCCCTCCGTGTAAACGCCTGTACAAAGTCTCTATGGATCGCGAAAAAAAATTTTGCAAAAACATTTGAGCTTCTTGTACACATCTGGGTCCTAAAGGTGGAATAAAATCCTTCAATCGCTTAGTGCAATACAAAGAGAGAACGCGTATATTTTCAAAAGCATAAAATTTGGAGTAATTCCTCATTATTCATGGTCATTAATACAATTATTTCGGAGTGTATTCTACGGACGATTTTACCGGACTTGTACAAAGAAGGTATATGTATAAGCACATGTATAGTTATATATGTGTATAGAAAGTCGGATAAAGAGACGGTTCCACACCACAGAGTGCACATCTTTGGACTTTCATAACATAAGCTTTGTTTTAGACAAAATATAAGTATTTTCTTAGCTAGAAGATTTGAAAGGGTGATGATGCAGAACAATAATAAAAGCTTCGCTGCATTTATAATTTTGTCTTTATGCCAATCGTAATTTATAGTTGAAATGAAAAAAGGCTTTGCTCTAGTAGATCCTAGCAACAACAAGAGCAACCCACTTAATATTAATAGCGGGCCACCCTACACCACCCTACACTTATTCATATAACACTTTTCAACATAAATCGCTAGATGGGAAGTGGTCAGAATAGTATTTTAATTGCAACCATTTTCAATAGCGTTTATCCTTGAGCCAAAACACATTAGTGCAGTACATTTCATCAAAATATCACAAAAATTGCAGTTTGTAGGTCGAAAGCAAGGCGGACGGACAAGTTGAAATCGATCGGTTTTATAAAAACGGCGGTTGCATCTCCAGTCCTCTCTGGGTATTGCATAAATCCAAACAAACCTAATATGTCTAGGTAAGGTGTAATTATCTTAAAGATCTCATAAAAATGATATAAGGGGTTAACGAAAATTGCTGAAAGGAAATAATTAAACTCTATAACTATGTGGTCCGTTATCATTTTCGCTATAGGTACGGTTCACTTTTGCTCACTTATGTGAACAGCATTTCGATTTTGTTCGCTTTGGCAGATAAAGCAGCAGGATTCTGGCAATAGTTTAATTCTCCTCCAGTTTTCGCAGCATTTTTCTCTAGCGAAGTCGTACACACACAGAGCAAATTTATTAGGTGAATTAATAAAGTGCAAAATTTTGTATTATTTTTTTTTTTATTTCGTAATAAAATATATAATAACTTTATTTTTTATTTTGTTCGAACAAAATCGAATTTTTTACTTTTTGTTTTTTTTTTTTTTGCTTAAAATATAAAATTATCAAGTTATAAAAGCTTAAAATAAAGCGTTTTCCCTCTTTCTCTTATTAATTCGAAAATAGGAAGTTTAAACTAATCATATCAAGTCAATTTACTCATGATTTTTCGTTCTCTATTCACGCATTTTGTTCACGATAATTTCAAATAAAAGAAAAATTTTTGTCTTTACTCAATCAATTTAGAATTCATTAAATAGAAGAAAAAATTAATTGTTGTTTATTATTAGTTTTCACTTTTCAGTTGATCGATTTTTGTGGAGACGATATTCACGAAGTTATTAAATAAATTTAAGGAATAGTTAAGTTAAAAATTTATATTCGTCCGTGAACGAGTTCTCTTTACCCACCACCTTAGCTTCAATGATTATTTGGATTTTTGGTTTCAAAATCCGTACTAATACAGCATACGATGAGCAAGGAATGCCATAATGGATGAATGTAAGAATAATTAACATTAAGGATATGCAATGAAACCGATTGGTGCTTATAGCGCAAGAAGTTAATTGGACTTTGTCTCTCATAACTTGACTCCGTTTGGAAAAATCTTGTTTATATACAAAAAAAGGAACTCTACAAGAGCTAATCCACTTGGCATTTCATTTCCGATAAGAAAACGACTAAGGGACTGCAGACATTGGTTACTACGGGAAAGCCAAGGAACAAAACCGTTAGTTCGGTAGGGCGACAAGTAATCAAGAGTCATTACAGAATGCGTGCAACCTTTAAGGATACTCACTGGCCACATACGTGAGCATAATTTCTTGACAATATTTCTCTTTCAGACCATCAATGAAGAACAATCAAATAATGCAAGAATCCAAGAATTGGAGGAATGACCGATCACGCCGATTTAGGGAAATGTTTAGTTTTCTCAATTACCAACGCCTAAGTGTTTTATTTGCACAAAAGATTAAGATCGTAAACTGAAAACTAAAAGTTTTATGTAAAAATAAAGAGACGTTCGGGAAACGCATCACTTTACCCAAGAACTGCACACGATTATTGACAAAATGCTTTGCTTCAGAAGTTCATCAGACATATCGGGAGGAAGAAGTTAAAGTTTAATATCGTTGAGCACATAACCAGTCCATCGGTCGCTTTACGCTGTTAACTGTACATTATCCGCAGGGGTGCATTATGTCTGCAGATGTGGATGAATACTATCATTCGAATCGATGCTTCAGAAAAAACAGCGTGGAACTACGAGCTGATCATATACATTACTGCAGATTTTCATTTTTGAAATTTGTATGACTTTTGCTTCTGGCCCCTAACATTTCTTAAAGACGCTATCCAAAAAAAAAATATCTTCGCGAGACTATCTCACTGCTGAACGGAACCACGGTAACGCGAAAAAAGAGCAATTGATTCGGTCTTGCAATTTTTTCCAACTTGCCTCTTTTACTGTCGATAATGAAACTTTTATCGCTACGAATTGGTCAATCTTTCATAGAAATTTATATTATCATTCTACAACAAATTTGGTAATAAAGTTATTTTTAATATCAATTTGCCTGTCAATGCCTGTATTCTGCTAAACAATAATCAAATTATTTTTAAGATGACCAATCGCTAAGGAGATACATGTAAACGCTGTGACTGATAGAATGATGTAAGGGAAGAGAAAGAGATAGACAGGTGGCCTGAGCCTAGTAGTAAATAAGTAGTGCCCAATAAGTAGCTACGGGTAAAGTGTGCTTACCGCTCAAATGTTTACTAATCAATAAGAATTTTTTAATTGGCAGGCGTGATTCGATTGCCTTGCAGTCATGAACGAAGGCAGGAGCTCCCACTGCGAACTGGGAAAACATCGGTGATGGGTATTAGAAAAAAAGAAGAATTATTTAAACGAGATTAAGCTTAAAACAAACACATGATGATATACACTTTGAAAAAAATTATCTTATACATGATTTTCTATTATGTGTGTATTTATTTCAGAGATAATTGTTTTTTCTGCAATGATCCAAAACAATTTTTTTCATTGAAAATTAAGAAAATGTTTTTCGAAACGAGCAAATTATCTTTCATTATTAAGGTTTTGCTACTAATGTTGTTTGCTTTCCTTTTTAAAACTTAAATTTATGTATAAAAGAAAATCAAAATGCAAAAAAAAAAATATGTAAATTGTAACAATGATAATAAAAAATATTTGCCTTTTTAACTGCGGCATTACACTCTTTGTTCCTGTAACTTTGACGTTTTGCGAATTTTATGAGCTCCGCTTATTATGGTTTCATTTTGTTTATTGTTGTTGTTATTTTTTGTTTTTTTTGTTTTTAATCTTCATTTGACACTTGCACCCAAGTTTCGAGGCTACGCTTCTGAAAAGATTATGCAACGTTTACTTTTACCAACGGAAGCTAAGCCATTACAGGTAGGACTCCAACTAACTGCATGCACCGCAGCGCTGTGAAAGAAGCCAGAACCAGAACTTTGTTTTTAAAAATCCATAACACCACGAAAAACACATAGCGAAAGTGTTTAATGTCATAGATAGACAGGAGAAGTTTGAGAGTGTGATCACATATAGAAAATAAAAGAAGAGAAGTAAAAGAAAACTGAAGGTAGTGTTTGTGCAGATGTGCGTATAAAATTAGTGCTGATGAGATGTCAATGAGGTTAAAAAATGATTCAATTTTGAAATGAAAAACCAAAACCAAAAAATTTTAAAGTAAAATATATATGTGCAGGTCGAACGTGTGCAGCAGCTCTGGCGGGGAAATTTGATATTAACAACGGTTTTCCTAACGAGCAGTACTTCCTTCATTGTTGTATTGTGTGTGTGTGTGTGCCTCTAATATATTTTGTTTTTTTGAAGGAGAACGCCACCATGTCAAAATAACAATGCGAACACAGGTTGTTCTATTTTAACCAAAAGGAGAAAATACTCTGACTCAATCAAGAATGACTTTGGAACGAATATGGCTTAGAAATGCATAATTAATTGGGTAGGAAGGATTTGGGTCGATTACTATCACAGATCTTCAATTTCTATCTGATCTCCGAAGTCGAGAATACCAAGAAACATTCAAACATGCTATCGCTATCCTCTTTCCGCTATAAAGATCGTCCCGCTTAATATGTTGAAGACACAATTGTAGAATGCAATTTTGAAAAACAAAAGCCATTTTATTACTAACGAATTAATTTTCGTTCGTTCCGCGAAAATCATATAAACAAGACAGGTCAAGCGAAGGTATGGATGTTAGACATATTTCATAGAAATGTATGATAGTAAGAAATATATATATAGAAACTATAGAGTTTTTGACCGTGAAAGAAGCGCATACCAGCGATTCGCCAATAAAGAGCCTAAGAAGATACGAAGGTTAGTAGGCATTGTACAACGTTCTTCCGGCCGTTATCTGCAATCCTTGAGGAAAGAAAACTAAAGAGTGCTCTATGATATTTTCGCTCTTTTTCTGTGTTCTTCTCTATGCTTCTTAAATGGAAGTCCTCTGCAATTTAGGCTTATCCTGGTGAATCTTTTTCCTTCTCTACAAAATTTTTCAATCGCTATTTTGTTCTTTGGAACATTATTACTCTGTCTGCTCGCCGACATTTGGCCTTCCATTTTCTCAGATGCAAACGATTTGCTGTAAAATTATTTTTGTTATAAGTATTGCACTATTTCGTGATATAATATTGGTTGAACGCGTAAGAATCGCGTTATTCAAAGTTAGTACAATTTACTGTTGTTGTGAATCTCCGGATTTAGTGAAATAAAACGAAAGTAAAGAAATCAGAAAAAGACAAAGAAAAGATTTAAAAGCCGCTGGATGACAAACACAGATCAGTAGAAGTTATGTTTATGGACTTCTTTTACCAGGCTTTTAAATATGGTTTCATGAACTTCTGGAAATAACCGTTCTCTTAAGAAGCGGCTTTTCGGACCGTGAGCTTTTTAACTTTGACGTACAGATTTATTCTCCCTCAAGTAAAGAAGTGATCTGCAATTTGTTGCATAAATAAGTCAATGGCATAAAAGATATCAATGCCGAGATGCCCCCTTTTAGAAACTAAATTAATTTACAAAATATCAATTACAATGATTAGATTGTGAAAAAACATAACACATTGGGTGGGTTATGCCAAAGCTTAGAAGTAAATCATATTTAGTTGCCTAATCGTTCACGGTCCCGTATCTTTACGGCGTATTTATTATTATTGTTATTCCGTTATCCCCTCGATTCCACAGCTACTTGCAGATTCCAAATGGGTGGCTACATGTTCGGTAAAGGTAGGCCAAGTGTCAAATCTTGTACGACAGAGGTGTGCCTATCAAAGCACCATCTGTTTAATTGCTCTCACGAAAGTTCTTTCAGTTCTTACTTACAGTTTATTGTGCATGATGACAATATACTTCACGATCCGTTCCTCCGTCATAAATTTTGCCATTATGAATGTGTGTTTGCCATAATAAGGTACTTTAACACGTTAAGGACGGCGCAGTTTTTCCTATTTCTCATAAGCATTCGTTTGTGAGCCACCGGTGGTACACGCCGTCCTTAACGTGTTAAAAAATATTTTTGTCATTTTGTCATTTTGTCAACTCGTTTCGTTTAGGTTACAACCTAATTTCATATTACATATATTCTGTGTTTGACGAGCATGCGAGTATATCGCTTAAGAAATGGACACAGTTAACTGATTAATAAGCGATGAATTGCTCGTAGAAATATTCAGTTATTAGGAAAAGCGCTTAATCAACAAATTGAAGACCCGTCGCCAAGACTTTCGCACTACTCGCCGTATTTTTCGTCCTTTTCATTATTAAATCCCTTAGCATTGAAAGGTTTTTACGCGACATGTCAATAATTGTTTGTCGGGAAGAGCTCAGAGTCGTGCAAGCGTACAAAATATCGCTTTGATCGAACATGATTTTGCTGATTAATTTCTGTAGTAAACATCGACACGTTGAACTTTCATAACCTAATCTCGAAAAAAACTAAGAAAAACTGATGGATTGATACTAGAACGTGCTATCCTCACATTATCGGAAATATAACCTAAGAATATCATGATGTTTTGTGTAATGTAATTCACTTGTTTTTTTTTCCCTGGTGGGCTGGTGATGCTTTCTCAAGTAAAATTAGTACTAATCAGATTAATTTTTAGTTTAGAATATTAAACTTTGCTTCAATCAATTAAAAATATAGTGTGCGAAACGATTCTTGCAGTTCTTGTGTTATAAAATATAAACGTTAGGTGCCGCCTTCACCGCTTGATATTCTTATTAATGGGATGCGGTTATTATGTATGTATATGAGGTTTATTTGAATATATTTTATGCGCGCAACTTTATTAAAATATTTTGCACTAACCTGTGTCCTTTTAATGTGGCCTCGACATAACCATCAAGATTCCAAAGATATATTAATCCATCAGTAGAACCGCATGCTATTTTTTGGGCATTTGCACTGAATGAGGCGCGAGCCCAATCACAGCTTAATTTAAAATGTTCATCACTGAAATATATTTTTAAAGAAAAAACAAATTTATTATTAAAATTATAATTATGAAAATAATTAAAGACTTACGAGAACGTGCTAATAATTGAATTTTTGCGTAAATCTATAAGTTGTATAGTATCATCACGTAGTGAAGCTATCAATAATTTCCCGTCTGAAAGCAACGTAAAGCCAAAGATAGATGAGAAAAAAAAACAAGCAAAGAGCATAAGTGACTGATTTTATTTGGATAGTTTTAATGTAAGATGATATCGTAGACATTGCTTTACCAACCTTTTGATAAATCCAATGAGGTAATTTTAGCATTCATTAATAAATCATCAGCTTGTTTTTCGGTGCGTATGTCCCAGAAGCGTATCTTCTTATCATAATGACCGCTAATAATGGTGGAGCCTAAACTATCTGTAGTTACGAGATCATTGCAACTTGAACCGGCAAATTTCGTCTCGATGCAGGCGACATTATGCAGATCCCATATTTTTAGAGTGCGATCATAACTTCCAGTTACCACTTTTACAGGCTCTTGAACGTATTTAGCTGCCATCACCTTACCACTGTGGCCTGTAAGAGTATGCTGGAAAAACAGAAAAAAAAAAGCCAAAAAAAAAAAAATCTTAATAAATTATAAATCTTTTAAGAGTATCGCATGGTTCTTAAAATATGCCGTTAAAACTTATCTAAGCGAAAAATAAAACTTACAACTTCTTTTAGTGCGTTCGGGTCATAATTTTTAAATTCCACTAACAAAACATAGATATAAAAGCAGAAATATCCAATTAACACCCCACTAAAATCTCCTATAATATATATCTTTTAACTTATGTTCGTATGTGTGTTTATTATGTATAGTTTAACACCCATTTCGCATTTAACGCATTCAACGTTTGCCAGCCAGTAGTAAAGTATCGCGATAACATCTAAATAATCAAATAGATACTGTAAACGTAAACATTATCGAAAAATAATAAGAAAAAAAATTATAAAAAAAAAAAAAAAAAACAAAAAAAACAACAACAACAAAAAACCACTAATAATAAGAACCTTATATACCGTCAAGCACTTCGATATAATGTACCTTACAGAAGCCACTTAAATATATGTAGGTTGTAGCTGAGAGAATCTCTATATGGGTTGGTTGGTTTAAAAATTATGTACATATTAATAAACTTTGATGTTTTCAAAAAAAATTTAACAGATATTTTTTTGAAGACTTAGTTGCTTAGATCGTTTGAGCTGTTAAGCGCAATCTGGGCATATGTCTGCCACTTAATCTTTTTTGCTAGGCATATATATGTTGTTCGGAATTTAACATTTTATCTTTTCTTGATTCTGAAATTAGAATTTCTTTAGAAGAAATCTATTATTTCTTCTAATACATATATAGGCTGAAAGGGGAAGGATGCACTGTTCGACTACCATGCGATGCATTGCATTTGAGCAATTTTCCGATAGGTCGGTCAGCTGTTCACCTTTGATTCGTTTCGATTGGAGTAAACATTTAATTGACCTAAGTCGGATTGTATTTGAATTGTTCTCGACTCCTGCAGCAAATATATGCTCAAGCAATTTTAAGTTTGCCTATTCAATATGCAGCAATTCTATTGTGAAATGATTAGTGCTTAAATTCATTGCCAAAAAATTTATCGAGTTCACTTATCAGGGTTGTAATCGTTTGTAAGAGTATAAAGTTGCCAATGGTTCTATGATTTGCTGTTGTTCATGATCTGATCATAATCGCATCGATTCAAAAGTGATATGAAATTCAAGTAGCATTTGCCACCAAGTAGGGTATAGCAGAACGCACGTGATTTATGATGAAGTTTAATTTACCTTTCTTCTTATTATGTTAGAGCCGAAGGTGGGAATAGATGCTACTTCTTCCTTACCTGATTAATTTCAAGCGTTTTTTGATAACATTTTTAACTTTTTCTTTATGTATTTTTTTTTCTTTTTCTTTTGTTTCGTTGCGCAATGTTAAGTTTTTCGCATTAAGAAAAATTTAGACAAACAAAAAAAAAAAAACAAAAAAAGTTTTCGCAATTTCGTGTTGGCGGTAATTTTAAGTATTCGAATTTTTTTCATTTAAAATTTTTGGCCAATCCTTAGAATAGCTATGCTTTTCGTTTGCAAATCAAAGTCATGTGTAGAATTTTTAGGTCAAATATTTTTTAAGAGGAATGTCTTAGGTTACATCAAATTTAATGGAGTTTATCTGGCATATTAAGTTTATCATTATTTTTGCAATTGACTTTTCAATGAAATCGAAAAACACGGGGATACCAAAGTTTAAATATAAACATGTAAGTTGATCTCAAAATTGGATAATTGTCTTATATGGAACCCAAAAAAAGAAAAAAAGAACTAGAAGTCTTCCAATTATTTTCAAAGTCAAATCAAGGAGCGGCAACCAGTTACTTCTATGATCTCTTAAAAAAAAGAAGATAACAAATTTGTTCTTTATATAGAAGATGGCTTCAGCCCATCCGCCTATTTCAAAAGTGAGATATTTAACACTAGAAGTACTCACGTTTTGTATATACCTATGCCTACTGCAAGGGATCACCTATTTTTATCAACTTATCAATGTCGTAAAAAAAAAAAAAAACAGTGGCTTGACATTTCTTGGTCGTTCAAGGACACGATGTTGAAAATTGACCATTGATCTGTTATGTCAAGGGAAATAAATAATCAAAATGATCCTTTGGGCAGAAATACGTATATGCCAACGGCATTTCGAAAACTAGATCATGTACGCGAAAACTAATTATAGCCGTTTAACGGTATTTGCATATAAGCAACCAGTTAATAATCATTTTTTTGAAACTCAAAAAATGAAAAAGGACCAAAATGATGTAATTCGTAGTTCAAGTGCTAAGACTGTAAGGTGATGAGATGAAATGTAAATATTAAACTTTTTTGCAGACATAGCTTCGGGTTAGTTCGAAGTGATTTGAAAAAACGGTTTATATGTTTCGGTCTCTCGACCGAATTTTATTTAAGTGCCTGACATGAAATAATTTAATTTCTTCAGTTGCTTCAATACATTAAATTGGGGCTTGGCATTGCTTCCTAAATACATATAATACAATAAATAAATAAATGTAAGCAAATAAATTCTTCATATTCGAAAGGTAATAACAGCAAACTGTCTTCTTTGACTTTTACATATTTCTCCTTTACAATTTCCATCTCTCTAACTGTATAGTATCGAAAATTCTACTCAGATTGTCTCTAATGTCGATTTTGCTTCGCTTTAATAACATCCCGTTTGTTGTTTGCCGACCATTACTGTTATCTGGTTATTAAAGCGTATTTTTGCTTTTTGTTTTTTTTTTTTATGCCATGTTCGTTGTTATCTTCTCGATTTTAGGCAGAAAGAAGCGATTTAAATGTGTGTTAACAATATTTTCGATTATTAGAAAAAACATAATTTTTTAATAAGATTTTTTTTACGATAACACCTAAAGGCAAAATCATTTGCAAATGATTTAAGTGAATAGCTCATAAACTTTTTAACCGCTACGATCTTTGCATTTCGGACATTGACGGTATAATCTATATGTGAACTGCATTTTCGGCAAAAGTTCCCTGTAAAAGTTTCTTAAAACGCTTATCATAAATATTATTAATAATGATTTTCAAAGGTTACCGCATATGAGGCATTTTTGATTCACACAAGTCCAGGAAAAAGAAAAAAACTCCAATTTATGACCGATGTCCATCTAAAACTTTAAGTCTTCCTTTTTTTTTTGACGCGGCCGGGTATGCAGTAATCGGGATGCAGGCTTCATATCTCTTAAGGCAATGTCAGCCACCGGGACTCCATTATTCGATTTTTGATCGATATGTGAAATAGTGAATCGCAAAAAATCAAGCGACATTAACTTATTGAAAAACTTTTCTTACTATTCCATCTCTATGTTAGTCAAAATCAATTTCATTGCCTTTGAAGTAACCCACAAACGCATATAATAATCTTTGTTAGCTGTTTGACCCATCGGAAGGTATTGATAGTGAATTACATCATAACAATTGAAGAAACCTGTTAACATTACCTTGACTTTTGAGCGCCCTTGCCGCGGTTTTTTCGGTCTTGGCTCATCTCTTGGCACTCGCTCGATTGAGCGCTTGTTTCCGGATCCCACAATCACTTCTCATTTCATTTCACAAACGAAATTTAATGCAAATACTTTGCTCAATGAAATCACGTTTATGATGTGAAATTTGACATGGGCGTCTGTCACAGTGAAAATAAAAATATTTCTGATATTCGTTATATCCGCTTAGTTTAACATAAATATTTGCCTTAGTTCTTGGTCACATAGTTATGATGGAAAAGTTTCTTTTAGTTGTAGTCTTAGTTTATTGTTAAGTTGATTTTTAATCGTCTGCTGAAAGCTAGAGGATAAGAGATTTTATTAAATAGTGTTTGTCGAGTTAAGTTTGTGCTTCTGCTGACATTTCCGCAGAGTGAGTGAACAAATAAAATTATTACAAATTAAAAAAATCTTCCTTCCAAATCATAATATTTACGACAAGGACTAAGTAGTTTTATCGCTCGCCAGATTTTCTAATGCAAAAAATGTGCAACATTACAACATTGTTAGGCATAATCGTAAGGATTAAAACTGTACCTCATCTTAAGCTTAGCATAGCTCGTTTGACATCAGGTATTTTTTGAATTCGTGGATAAGAAACCTGAAGGAATAAAGATTTTCTGTTGTTTTTCTTCTTATGAGCGATCAATGGCCACAATCCTACACCAGCATCTTTGGTAAGGTAAACGTTTCAGGAACTCTTGCTTCCTTGCCTTCAATTCGTTAGTCTGATGGCAATAATTTCACATCCCGCTATTAATGGCCTTCATTCACATACTTTGGTATTAAATTGCCAAAGCGTGGCATGAAATTATGCAGAGCGTGTCTTGATTCAAAAGTTTATCGAAATCCAAGCACAAGTCCAAGTGAGGCCTTTCAATTATTACCAGGTTAAAAAGGCGAATCCGGGTATCATTTTAACTGATTGTTGAACGTTGAAAAAGCCATAAAACCATAAAATCAAGTGTTTAAAAGAATGCTTGAATTGGGATAATCGTGGCTGAATGAAAAGTTGGTCTAAGAATAATCACAACTCTCAAGAACTTGGCCAGCTAAAGCTAAACTTTATACTAAACTACCATTATCTTCTTCGCAGACTTGCTTTGAACTGCTCTAATGTGTACTTTTCTGTGCAATGAATTAACACAACCGCAAGAGAAATATTCTAATAAATATTAAGTAAATAGCATAAGCTCGTAAATTACTAGACTAATTTTTTTTTTTTTTTTTTTTTTTTTTTTTTTTTTTGCATTTTTCTCCTTCGCGTCTTATAGGCTTATATTTAACTGTATTTAATTCCCGTATATAAGTGTGTACACATATATATTTGTTTTTGAAATGAATGCCATAAATTTAGTCAGATAACTGAACTTGATTTCTGGTATATATATATATATATATATATATATTTACTCTTTTCTTTAATTTTCTTTTCGGTTTATTTATTTATTTTTAGAATGGCCGCGCTTAGCAATGG